AGGGAGACATAGGGGAAGGTACACTTTTGAGGATAGAGTTTAAAGAGTGTGGATGTGGGATCATGCTGAGCAGTGATGATATAATTTGGGAATGCTAGTAAAATTTGACAGTGAAATCATACAATGCAATTCTGACATTGATGATTAGAATTCTACCGTAGTAATTCCTGTTGTGGCTACAACAGTCAAAGTGGCCAATTTGATATTTTGTAGGCAAGCTTGCCTGAGTGATCAAATTGGCCACATCATGGACTTTGTGTATTTTGGGATCACAGGAGGTGGAAAATTCAGCTAAGGTAGGGCCCAAGGTACTAAAATCGCGCTAATGGCGTACTAAAAACTGTGTTTTGCACTTTTACACAGTTGTGCATAATGTGTCCAAAGTAATCATTTATTCCCGTAGTAGGTACTATATAAGATCAATAAAAGAGAGGACATGAAACAAAAAAAAAACAAAAAGAAACTTTTTACAAGATCAATGAAAAAGGAAACTTGTTGCTCCAATTCAAGTTTTGACATTCAATCCCAAGATGACATTGAGAAGAAAAAAAAAAACTCTCAATTATAAATCAATTTCAATTGATCCGTCCTCCTTGATGTAAGGTGAAATTCCATATCGGCGCGTTTTGAGACTATATTTTTTTTTTTTTTACCCAATATTAAAAAAATGGTATCAGAAGAAAACCTTGGAAAAAGAATGAAAGCAAAAAAAAAATACAATAAAAAAACAGACCTCCAGTCAAGGTTTCCAGCACATTGCATCAAAACCAGTTCAACGAAATTCTTCACTTCTTGCTCTACTTCTGAACCCTTGTAGATTTCTAAGGCCTCTTTTGTTGCTGTATTCATTTTATTAACTGATTGAGTTAGAAGCTGAAATACTTTGTTGAAAGCTTCTTGTATTTCAACACCTCCATCTGCGGAATGAGTCACTGTTATCAAATTTAAAACGTCTCCTGAGACCTGATAGATTCTCTTTGTCAGCGTTCAAATTTCACTGCTCGTCGAAAACTGATTGAATTTTTTTTGGCATACTTTTTCCTTCCTGAATGAAATCAAGTCGTTGACGCTGAAGATGTAAGAATACAATTTAGTATTCCTAGTGAATTGAATGTCCTAGATAATGTGAAAAATTAGCTTACATAATTATAATCTCAGTACACTCCTTCCAGATAACCTTGATAGGGTCACTTTTCATGATATGTGATGGTAAGTGTTGTTTAAGAGCGTATCTGTTTTTCGGAATCAGTTTGGTCAGTAACATCATTAACTAAAAACAGTAATAAAAATGGCTGTTGGTAGTCACTACTTAACTCATTAAAGGCCAAAGTAGGCTCAACACCTGATGCACCGATACGCATCTTCCAAAAAACATCTAAGCTAGGTAACTCATCCGATCTTATTATCCTTTGCTCCTCGTTGACTCCTTGAAAGTACTTCTCCAACCCCTCCAATAGCGTCTGTCTTTGATCTACACGTGGAAAGAAACCAAAACAATCTTTCATTTTTAATCTCTTTATACGGACTGGGAATTGTATAGAGCGAAAACTGACCATCAGTATATACCTTCATGATCGCTTTGCTGATAACTTGGAAACTGTTGATAATAGGGTTCTTAGGTAATTCTTGCAAACTCTCACCAACTCCTAAACAAGATCTTACGAATACAATTGTTTCTGATAAGTATTCATTAGCAAGCTCAGTTCCCCTAGTTGAATCTAAAATTAAAGATTCAAATAAATCATCCCATGCAAATAACCAAACGAAAAAGAGTGTAATAATCTTATACTCTTCCCATTCTGCTGTTGGATACCAATTTGCTGTACATAACGCAAAATCGTTTGCTTTTAATTTCTTTAATTGTTCTCCTTCAAATCCGAGAAAAAAAAAAAAAAAAGAAAAAGAAAAAAAAGTAAAAGTTATGGTGATCAATCTTTTTTTTTTTTCTTTTTTTTTTTTCGTTTGATATGCATCATATAGATTAAATGGTTCAAGTGTATTCGATGCATGAACAAAAAAAAAAAGCAAAACATACCTCCCAAGTTGTACATCAACCACTGAGACCATATCCTGATATCGCTCATTAACTTTAGTTGGCCAGTCAGCAAACAAAGGCCAAAAATTGGGAATAATAATCTTTTGTCCTTTGAGATTATTTAATACCTTTCCAAAGCTTTTCGTGTGGTTATTCTTAGCTTCTGTTAATTCAATTTTATCTAAATTATCACAATCCTTTGTATTATTGGTATCCACACAGACAGGTTTTCTTGGGGTATCAGTAGCTTTGACCTTTGTGGGTCGAGCCTTTATATTAAAAATGCTTTTGAGTCGCGGGCAACAATTGCTACAGGCCATTGGAATTGATATGGAGTGGTGCAAGCTTCACGAGGTTTAGTAGATGCGCTAAGCGTTTGAGAAGTGATATAGGATAGAAAGTAGCTTGAAGAAATCAAAAGAAAATATGATAAGTTTGAGATTGAGATAATAAAAAATGGTATATGTCAAGTCTTGTTTGGGGTATGGCGGTGTCTCTTTGACTACTTGATGCTACGAAGAAAGTGGGAAAGACAGAGGGGGATGGGTAGGTAGGTGCGTCTCATTGAGCGCGTTTATATACGATCAAAATTAAAATGACATGCGTCCATCCACACTTCAGTCGTGTCTCAATTCTGAATCATTCTTCCCGTATCGTACACTCAAATTCAATGGGAGGGGAATGAGCTGAGAAGCATATAGCTGATTGGGCGATTACCTTCCACCCTACATCCCTGCTTGTCTTAATCCAGCGCCATCGCGGCGGGTTTTCGAAGTTTTTTGGTTCCGTTTCCATACAAGAAAATAAGATTGAATTGGTTGAGAGTGGTGTACCTCACTATGCACGGCTACATCTGTGTCCAGATCATCAAATGACAATCTCCGAGCACGGGAGAACTGGAGCACACAACACATCAACACAAATAACCCGGATGGTTAGGGTGGTGAGGAGTTGATGGGTGAAATGAAATGAAGGATGAGAAAATCCAACATTCACCCGGCTCCGGATACAAGTGGGAGAAATCAACAGGAGTTTCATCTGTGTCGTGGACACCTCGGAAGCACACATGTACAAATGTACCCAGCAAGGGCTAGGCGGCGGCCATCTTCCAACTCAGAACAGGTCATTGCCCTCTCAATGCCTACTTACGCAGATTCAAAAAAAACGGTCACTAAATATGGCAGAGAATGCGGCGTGCCCGAGACGGTCTCGCACTTCTTGCTTTACTGTCGAAAATACCGGACCCAGCAAAGGATTTTCGGACTGAGAGTGAAGACCGAAAATTTACGAACGAAGGTTCATAACACCAATGCTATTTTAGATGACCCGAAGGGTTTCCCATTCTTAGCCCAATTTATCTTAGATACGCGAAGGTTCGAACACTTATGCTCGTATCTCCCGGAAGAGGAGTAATCCCCCTGTTGTGTCTGGCAGCGTTTCAGCCCGATCTTAATTTTCCTTTCTTCTCTTCCTTTTCCATTTTTTTTTGGTCCCATGTCTCTTTGTTTGGAAATGCACGCGTTAGGCTAGACCACACCGCCGTTTAAACCCTCGTTCTCATTTCTTGTGATTAACATAAACTTTCTTTTCAATACTGGTCAGGTTTGATATCGCATTCAAACAGCGTTGTACACAAGTCTCTCACTTGGTGTGTTATGTAATACAAAATCACACACACACACACAAAATCAGGAGGCAAAAGCTCAGCAGATCATTCAAGTTTCTTTACAAGTAAAAAATGAATGACAAACCCAGATCTGAAATTTTGTACCTGACGCTTGACCTCTCGTTTGATCTGTATGCTTATTGTAAATCGAACCCTGAATTTTGGTTAAGCCTCAGAACATGTTGTCGTCTTGTAATACAAAGGTTAAATAACAAAAACAAAGACTTCTCAAGCGAATCTTTGGATTAATTGGAAGAAAAAAAAAAAAAAGGGCTATAAAAAGGACCCAAGGTAGACTTTATGACTAATCAAAAACTTACAACTGAACAGAAGTAAGGCCAAAGTGGATTTGACTTTCTGTCTTCAGTTTCTTATCGATCACGTATCAAAGACAACCAACTAAGCAAAGAAGGTCTCACTTTTGTTTGTTGAATTAAACAACTAGACCATCCTCAGAGTTGGTGTGGGCATAAATTAGAGGACAAGACCATCTTTACATTTGGTGATGGTAAGACCGGGACCATCTATACCCTGATGTCATGCCTAGATGTTTTGGGGCAAGGATGTCAGCCTTTTGTTGGAATGATAGGGTTAAATGCCAATAAATCAGGTGACATTGCCAGCTCACTGATTGAGTTTGAGCTGTAAGTATTAAGTACTGTTGGCAATTTATTGCTTGCTTAACAAAGAATGAAGTGGAACACATGATCACGGGGAGGTGTTGATGTTGATCCGCAGACCTGATTCAACGCTGTACTGATAAAAATCGGGGCGGGTACTGCGATGGGACTGAACCGGCGATCAAATATTCGGATCCTCGAACGTTTTGACTTACCGTAGTGTAAAATCTCAAGCTAACTCGATTTATTCCTTCGTTCGGGACAGATGCCATTCAATGTTATTTGATTAGTTGAATGATGGAAGCGCACGCGATGAGAACTCGAAAATCTGAAGCGTTCGACTGTATGTACTCCAAATCCGAGCGGTCAAAATGGAAATGTTTGGATGACTTTGGAAGCGGGTGGCTTTTAAATCAAGCCAGTTCCAATATATCCATCAAAAAAAAAAAAAAAAAAAAAAAAAAAAAAAAAAAAAAAAAAAAAAAAAAAAAAAAACGACCGGTTGACGCAACGCAACGTTGTACAACGCGGCTATCAAGAGGAAGCGAGCCCTCGCATGTACTCAATTGTCCAACTCCCTCTCCATTTTGCAAGGCCTAACCTTCTATCTGTTGTGACCCTCAGGTCACATGGTGTAAACCATACCTTATAAGAACATAGGGGAACACCTCAGAGTACCGGTCAGGTAGCCTAGCGGTTAAGGCAGCCCACGCGTGTTTTGGGTCCGGATCCGTTGGATCTGGTTCAAATCGAGCCCCGACCATTCTTTAGACCACAATACCATACACATGTATTTCCAAGACAGAAAGGAAAAGTAAGGAAGACGGCTGTCGTATTGGTGGAAGGAAGTAGTTTGTTTCGTACTGCGTACTTACAATTTACCAACACCTTAAGATGATGGTCTAAACTGTTGTGGCCCCGGGGCCGGGTCCACTCGGGGCACGACCGCGGCACCGACGAGAACATATCTCGAGGGGCGGAGGAGGAGGAGGTTCCACATCATTCTGCTGTGTGTTCCTCCGTATGTTTTCCCGTCCCGAACTTACCGTACCGTTGCATCCCCAATATTAACTACCTTAATATCCGTTGCGCTAAACCATCGTCTAGATAACATAATGCACATTTAAGTAGGATAAAACCGCACTGATGTCCAATTCCCTTATGTATATCCTCTCATTTGTCAATCACCCAGATTATAGCGGACTAGGCACCAAGAGAAAAGCAACCGCAATCGGCCAACGGAAATACGTGGAAGATGCCGGGACCGGGTGCCGTCACGCTTGTAGGTGAGTGTGGTGCCCCGCCGCAGTCGTGTTGTGTGCGCACTGTAGACTACATACAGTCTACAACACCACTTGTCTTCTGCTTTCTGACGGCCCGGAAGTTCCGAATACGTGAGATAGGAGGGACTCTTGAATTAGAGAGTATAGACTGATTCCAGGCGTTCTCGATATCTGGCCGAGAGGATGGTGGGTCCATTGATATCACTTTGTAATGGGCGGTTCCAAGAAAGCCTCTCTGATACGTCAAAGACTGGGGTTGCATTCGATATCGTGAGTCGCGGGCACGCTCGCGATTTCGAAAATACCCGCCCAAAAGGTAATCAGGCTGGCCAATATTCACCTATCATTGATGTGGAGTGGGTGTCGATCGTTAGTCGTCGGTCCTTGCCAATTCCACCACTTCGTGCGATGCCGCCTCGCTGTGTGAGACTCATGTTGGTTCCGGTGTGATGTATAGTACAATTAGTATTATCGCAATACGACGCTAAGAATTCAATGTTCCGGCCGGAATCTGACAGAATCCACGTTTTAACTGATTAAACGAGTACAGCATATCATAACTAATGGAAAATACCCTTGACGAGGGGCTGGGAAAATTATGCGCCTTCATTTTAACTCCAAATGGGGTTGACCTCACCACGGTAGCTGCCGAGAGCTTTGGCACCACCAGGGTCTACTATGGTCATAGATCACCGGACAGAGTCCCATTTATTGTTCCCTCGCGCCTGTTCTCCACCAACCCTCCGTCCGGTTTGACCAAAGTACTGGTGCATCAGACCACGTCATTTGACAATAGTACTTGAAAACTTCTCAACTTTCTCGCCATGTTAAACCACCCAATCTATAACGCTTCTCCACTTCCTCCAACTATCACAACTCTCACTGTCAACTCGATCGCTCCTACCTGGGACTCTCGATTCAAAGATATGCTCCTCGTGCTAGGGAAGCTAGACCTCCTACAGAATGTGATGGATTCTCCTTCAAAAGAGGTCATACCTAGCCCCGTCGATTCCCAGCGTCACGTCCTGGGACAACACACGCGGGAAGTTTTAAATAGGAAGAGTGGGACAGAGCTTTTGTTGGAAAGTTTAAAGGGTCAGAAAATCATCATCCCCGACCTCTGGCCTTTGTACAAAGACTGGCCAAGGGGCGTTAACAAATATCATGCACAGATGGTACCGGTCGTTGATGCGAGGATCGAGCGGTATGTGATGGTCTTTTTTTACTGCTTCATGTCTCTATGGTATTGCGTGATGATTATCTTGGGGGTTTTGCATATAAGACTTGTGCTCCTCGCCATTCTTGACAAATTTTCAAGACATCAAGCTTAGCTGGATCGGAGGTATGCACAGCGAATGAAGCAAGCGGTGACTGACCAGGGATGTTAATTGTATTTCAAAAGTCTCGGATTCACCGGCGATAAACTCCAGAAGCTCAAAAACGCTGATTTCGCCATGTGCGCCGGCGCTTGGTGGCCAAATGCTGAATGGGATGAATATCGAATCTTGACTTTTCTTTTCCTTTGGATCTTTACCTGGGACGATCTTTTCGAGTCCAATTGCTTGGATCATGAAGCTGGGCCTGGTCTTGCTGAAAAATGCTTGAGGGAAACGGTGTTATTTGTGCGGTCATGTTTGGGTGTGGGTGAGCCAGGGGTATTGCCACAAAATCCGCTGATCAGGAGCTTTGACGTGATTGCCGAGGCCATGAGAGTGGCATATAATGAGGGTTAGTTGTCGCCTCATTCTCATCTTAGTCCTTATTGGGTGTCAACTGACGAGATGAGATATTGTAAATGAATGGCTTTTACAGAGCAAAGACATGCAGTAGTGAATGGTCTAGAGGCGTACTTTAAAGGTGTCCAGGACGAACAGCAGATGGTTACCGAAAATACAGTACCTCCCATAGACAGATACTGGAACGTGCGTATCAACACAATCGCTGTGGAACCGTGTCTGGCGATGAATGAGTAAGTCGCTCCAATGAACGCCGTCCACGCATGTAGTTTTGTGTCGACTGACCCAATTTTAAACAGATATGCGCTAAACAAGCAAGTACCTTCATACATAATGCGAAGTGGCAGTATGAAGATACTTTGGGCGGAGTGCATCGCCGGTGTGTCAATGTAAGCCTGTTTCACTGAGTCATCAAGAATTTATCATACTTATATCATCATCGTCATCTTGTAAACAGTATGAACGATATGATGTCGCTAAAGAAGGAGATGGTCAGTCAATACCCCCATAAATGCCACGTAGAGTTTGAGCTAACGATAAAACCACAGCACGAAGGCACTGTTTATAACTTAATACCAGTGATATATGCAGCACACGGAAGCGTCCAACAGGCCATCGAAGCAAGCACCCAGCTCCTCGTCTGCTCAATTGAGAGAATGAAGATTGCAAAAGAAGAGCTGATAGCTATGTGTGAGGAACCAGAAGTAAAGGAGAATGTAGAGAATTACGTCAACCTTTTCTTTGCACAATGTACCGGAACTCTGGACTGGAGGTACGTTAATTTTCCTGCTAACTAGCACTGGAATTGTTTCATTCATGTGGTTCAAGTCCTGGATAAGCTGATGTGATTGAATACAGTCTTAGAACACAAAGATATGGGATGGCGGCTTACATCAAGGATAATGGAACGCTTGAGTTGGTTCTGTGATGCTAGTTCTACAACGGTACATTGGTGGCCGACAAAGGCCTGTGTAAAATTGACGGTCCTTGGCCAGTTTCCTTGGTGTCGGATAAATATTCTGATTTTTTTTTTTCTTTTCATTTCCTCAAGTTGGAAATTTTTCTTAAATATGAAGATACACAGCCCTTCTTTTTCATTTTCTAGGCAAAATGACAAAAAAGAAACAGAAGCGTAGTCATGGTAACGTTGTATACAGCGGTGATTAGTTATAGCAAGGATTTCACTGCTGTTGAGTACATAGTCACCACTACTACCAACGCCGCAACTGGCAAGAGTAGCCGTAGGTACAACAGGGATCAAACATAATTAAATACTTGAAGCAAAAAGGACAAGAGTAATGGAACAAACCTCCACTCCACAAGCCAGAACGCCTATTAAGGGTGCTCAAGTTTAAAACTTTGCTATAAAATAAGAAAAACATGTCACAGCAAACCTCAGCATAATTTTTTTCACTGAGGATTCCTATAGTGCTGTGGTCCTACCACTACGGGCCCGCCCGCAGCCACAGTGCAATGTTCACGGTGGTTTTCTGCAATTTTTAATCGGACCATCTCTCATCTTGTAACTTTTTGTGTCTTGTGTATCTTCATCCTCTGTCTGCTTCCCTTTCTCAGCATACTATTGAAATAGTGTGGTTTGATTTTGGTGTGTTGCAACTGTTGGAAAAATCTATTCCTAAATAGTATTCCAAACCAACATGACACTCAAAACAGTGGACTAGGAGTAGTGTGTGTAACTTAGTAATGACCTTTTTGGTTTGTTGTCTTGTGGGTAAACAGTCAGTTGCGCAAATGTCACCTATGACACTTGCCACTTTGGGACTATGAACATTAGGTGTACAAAGTTGGTGAAGTTTCAGCTGTTGCTTTGGGAAGCTGGCTTGGATAGTATTCAGGGGGTGGTATTGTTGGAATGTCCTCATATATCTCTCCTCCTTTCTCCGTGATTCTGATCCTTTTCCTCACCGAAAAGAATCAGTAAGTTCTTCAAATCTCTTCACTTCAAGTCTTGTGTACTGAATCTCAACTGCTACTTTCTTTTTTCATTTATTGTGTCTGTGTCTTTTTTTCTCTCAGTCTTTTGTCTGTTTACCTAGGTCTGTTCCAGTGTCCTTGTCTTGGGCTAGGCTTCATGCCCGCCTAGACAAGTTTGTCTAATCCTGTAGCCCACAGGGGTTCCTTTGTTTTAGATTTTTGCAGCAACTTGTCATCTTATGTGTTTTGAAACTTATTCATCCCTAGCATGGGTATACATTGAAAAAAAAAAAAAATGTGAATAGGGTTCCCAATGAAGTGGTGGTCATACAGATACCCGAAGGTTCATGAACAGAGACGCTGAGACCACGTGGATTAAAACATTCCCAACTAGGCAGAACATTTTAAGGAGGATTAAAATACAGGCAAAAGTCTGGTAAGAAAAAATTATACGGTGTTCGCTAACTCGTCAGCTTCGGGACAGGACGATAATATTGTGGCCAGATTGTACCTAGCCACATTGTAGGTACACGACTGCGACACAAGTAGCCACAGTCTCCACCTGTATATAGCCTGCCCAGCCCCCGCTCCTAGCTCCTTCCACATCTTCGCGGTGGTTGGACCCTGGAAGCGTAGGCGGACCGTGTGCTACAACAGATACGGGCCGAAGTGATCACAACTGGGAATGTTGTGGAACTTCCGTACCCTCCAGCCTCTGAGTTAAGCTGGTGGCAGTGCCTCAGTCGTGGCCGAGTGGACCCGGCCCCGAGGCCTGGTGCCACAACAAAAGTAAGGCCAACAACAGTGGC